TCTAAAAATAGGGGACGTTAGGCTATTCCCTATACCCTAGGAACTCGCTTAGCTAAACTTAATTTTTCGGATTTTATACACCACAAGTTAAAACCGTCGGTATTATAAATAATTATTATTAATATATTGTCTTCTAGACGCGGTAAGGTATAATAGTACCCGCTAAATTCGGATTTACGTATTTCGAGGTATAGTTGTTGCTTATTATTATAGTATCGTAGTATTATCGTTAGTCTTACTAGTATACGTTAGAATTCTCGGTTAGTCCTATAGAGTATCTATACTAATAGTTGCCTATATAGCGATAGCACAATAAGGAACCTAGATATACTCTAAATTACCTTACTCCCTATACTTTATACTGTGAGAATTCGAATAGTATTAATAAAGGCCTACTATAGGCGGAAGAGAGGGTTCTAAGAGGGGATTCTTCCCCCTAGTATAGCGCTAGGACTTGTTACTAGAATACAGACACCCTTATTAACCTAGTATAATATACTATTCCTATATTATTCTAATAGAGGTGCTATTATAGTGCGCTATATACTATAGTATAAATTATAAGTAGACTCTTCTAACTACTAAGTATAGCTATATATACTACGATAGGTTATACTACCTATAGAACCTTATACTATTATAGCTAATAGTAGTGGTAGTAGTAGTAGGAGTATTAGCCTCCGCTTAGTACTACCTACTAGAAATCTAATTTACTAGTAACATTTAATTTGCTATATAGGCCTCTAACCGTATACTAATTATATAGGTTAACCTACTATTTGTCGAGATATAGTTAATACTATAAGGAGCTATAACTAGCTAGCAATAGTTAATACCTGAATAGTAACTGCTCGCCTATCGGATTAAGTATATACGTTATATTCGCGTTAGACTTTGCGATACTCGTTAAATATTATTATAAATCTAAGCGTTTATAGAGGCAAAATATGTAGCTAGAACTAGGCAATAGTTCAGATTAACACACTATTAGTCGAGGTGTAGCTCAATTTAATTTACTATATAGTATTATATTTAGTCTAGTAGCTATTAATATACTAGGTATCTATCTTAGATCTTAGGTAGATAAAATATTTAGAAGGTTATAATTGTAACTCTTAAGCCTATAGGTAGCCTATATAGACTAGAATAGTCCTTAGGTTACCTTGTATTCTCCTGTGTAGAAACCCTTTTTCTTCGGGCCTAGAGGCTAGTAGATAAAGCTTA